GCATGGGGTTGACGGGCAACTTCAAGCACATGGAGCGGCGACAAGCCTGGCCGCAGCATATGGTGAAGCGCGGGAAATTCACGCTGAAGTACATCCCGACCACCGAGTAGCTGGCCGACTTCCTGACGAAGGTGCTGACCTTTCCGGCCTTCAACCGGTGCTCCGTTGCAATCGGCCAAGTGCGCCTGGTCGACGTCGGCAACGGTGACGACGACGTGCAGCAGTAGGTGCTATGCCCTCTTGCATGGCTGGTACGATGACCGACGTGATGTGTCTTGGGTGCACGTCGACGAGCTATTCTCTCGAGTGCTTCCATGTGGGCTGGGGGCCCAAGCGTGAACGCGGCAGAGGAGTGTCAACGGGAGTTATTGTTGGCCCCGTCCTCGCTTGGGCGGAGTCGACTTCGTGGTCGGGTGTGAGGGGTACAGCCGACCTGCAGAAGTGGGCGAGCTGGTCGACAGGGCTGGTCGACCTGCACGGGGGCCACTGCAAGAGGCGTCGACTTGTAGACGCCGACCTGGGGAAGCCGACTTGGGTGGTCAGCTGACTACTGTGCTGGTCGACTTGGAGCTGGTCGACCAGGAGTGTTGTCAACCTGGAGCTGGTCGACCAAGGGTGTGGTCGACCTGGTGAGGTCGACGAGAGGTGGTGGTCGACTTGGGTGGTCGACGGGCACGTGTAGGAGGTGCTGGTCGACGAGGTGGTTGCCCGGTCGACCAAGTTACCCGGGCGACAGGTTTCTGCGACGGCACGTGATTGTCGCCTAGGTGTTAGTGGCGAGGTCGACCTCGGTGTGGTAACCCGAGGTCGACGTGGCTGATCAGATGCAGTCGTCAGCACGAGGACGCTTTGGTGTGTGCGCTGTGCAGGTGACAAATCACAGCCCGCCAATCACCTGCGAGCACCTGCGAAGCGGGTGCACTGCTGTCCTGCGGGTGCAACGCTGTACAGCCGACTTGCTGCAGCGTTGGCATGCCATCGACTTGCAGTGTTGGCGGGCCACGACTTTGCACTGCTGGAACGCGGTCGACCAAGTCGTGCTGGCACGCGGTCGACCATGCAGCGCTGGCAGTCGACCTGCTTGCATGCTAGCTCTGATGTAGTCAGTCTTGCCAACTTTGTTGCTATCATTCTGAACCTTTTGTTGTCATGTTTTCCTAGTGAAACTCTTGCCAATTCTCCCCATGAACTAGCAAGTAGTGTGGGCACTTGGAAACAAACGAACGTGGAGATCCCTCCTAACCCGTGCTTAGCCCGTAGTCTAGCTCCCGTTGATAGAGTTATCTCCGCAACCTCTTCCACTCGTCCCTCCCCCCAACCCACCTCTTCCTCTCGAAAAACCCCCCAACCATCCCACCTCTTCCTCTTGAAACTCCCTCCAACCCAACCCACCTCTTTCTGTAGAACCCCCCTCCCTCCCCCCCCTCCCCCAGACCACCACTTCCTCTCGGCTCTCCACCAGCCCATTTCTCCCCTCCCCTCAGCCCACGTGCCTTTCTCGTTCCCCCCACCCAGCCCACTTGCTACTATGGCCCCTCCCTCTAGCCCACCTGCTTCGCCCCCCACTCCAAAACCAACTGTGACTCTTGTTACACTGTTTCTGTACTACTGCTCCATACACATGATTCTCAGAGATTTGTTTTGTACCAACTCTACAGTTTTAGCATTTTTTTCCTTGGTAACGCTGATTGTCATAGCTTTTTCTGTACTTAGGCTGATGGATCAGCCTGGTTCATAACGAATATGTGGCCCTGACCCCAGACAGCTCCTGATTCAGCTTCACTAGCTCAGCCAGCACTAGGAGCATGGAGGGACGTGAGGCCGCAGGCAGGGCATTGCAGGAGAAGGCAAGGCGGGCCAAGCACAGCACCAATTCATCCGGTGCTTCAATGTGAGGGTCCTTGAATTGTGCCACTGCTCCAGAGTTCACCAGTGGGGCCACCTGCCAGGTTGAATGGATATAGCATACGGCAAAGTTGTGAGTCGACTCAAAACAAGTGTCAGCACCAAATTATCCGGTGATTCCAAATGAGAGGCCTTGAATGATCCCATTGCTCTTGAGTCCACCGATGGGGTCACCTGCCAAATGGAAAGGATACGCCATACGAGATATGCCATAAATATGCCACACGAGATATGCCATACTAGATATGCCATATGAAACATGCTCCTCCAACAAGTTCAGCAGTGTTGCCTGAAGCACAAATATGTCAATAGAATAGTAGCATTGGAGTATAAGTGACAACGCAGGTACAGAGGCGTGGGATGAGTGAGTTGTTTGAAATAAAGGATGACTGGATGTGCAAGGGATGAATGTATCTCATTGTTATACTTGCCTTCCTCAATCTAGCATGTATATTGTGGGAGGAAAGAAGAGAGGATCATATGATCAGGCCTTCATGTTTCTGAAAGCAAGCAAAACTATTCAACGTAGAGTGCACTTGGACTTATGAACATGTGTTAGCCATTGTGCGATGTGCCTCACCCATTGCTTGATGTTGACGTGGTTGCCCTCTATTACCTGCAAAACCTTGCGCCCCGTGACAACCACCAACATCACCATGCCAAAACTGCAAGCCAGGGAATAAAAAAAGACATTAATTGAGACAGCTTCAGTACTTGAATTGAACATTATCTGTAAAAAAATAACCATCCACACGATTATGGTCCTCTGCACAACCACTTGCGTCCCAAGCCCTTTTCTTTAAGTGGCTGAGCATCTCAGAGCCTTTAAATGGTGGCAAGGCAAGGCATGCCTGGAACGGAAACCATGGACTGCTGAAACTATGTACAGAAAGGAGGCGACCAAGGCGAAGGGAATGCGAAAAAGATAGTGGAGAAGAAGAAATAGAGCTGTCACAAACATTAGATGGTTATTTCGTCCCAATCTTCTCACCTGCACTAATCTTCTCACCTGCACCAATCTTTGCACCTACACCAATCTTCTCACCAACACCAATCCATTGACCTGTGCTATGCCAATCTACTCACCTGTACACATCTGCGGCTGGAGAGGCCTTTTGAGATTCGTAGTATTCAGGGTCTGTATAGCCCAGTGTTCCCACCACTTCAGTGGTAGCCTCAGATGAGGCCATAGATGTTCCTCCAAGCAGCTTTACACGCCCAAAGTCGGCAACCTTTGCCTGCCCAACATCAGCCACAACACCAGCATAATCATGCAACAGGAGAAGAGTCATGTTTTGAGTTGACTCGAAACACTGAAGTGCTTATTGTTTTCCCTCCACCCAGCTTCCCGAGCCCAAATTCTGCAACCTTTGCATGCCCATCATCAGCCACAACTGCAGCATGATCATGCAACATGAATCTAGTGTTGAGGCGTTTCACAACCAAACAGCTTTACAAGCCCAAAGTCGGCTATCTTTGCGTGCCCATCATCAAGCATAACAGCAGCATGGACGTGCAACTTGAAATTATGTGACGCAACTCTATGCCCGGCTGTTCAAAATATCACATGAGAGTTGAAAGGGATGAACTAGGTTAGGACAGCGTCTCCTTCCACATGCAACCCCACTTAAACATTTTTTAACATACCTGCATTTTTATCAAGGAGAATATTTGCCGGCTTGATTTCGCAATGCACAATTTTGAAGTCGTGAAGATACTGCAACCCCTTCGCAACTCCAATAAAAATATCCAGCCTTTGGAGCAGCGAAAGAGGGTTGGAGACACCGGGGCCGATCCAGCTGGCAAGGTCGACGCTCGGCATGAGCTCATAGACAAGAAGCTGCTCCATTGTTCGTGTGGTCGGGTCAAAGTCGATGCAATAGCCCAACAGACGCACGAGATGTGGATGGTGCTTGCTTGCCATCTGTTTCACCTGAGGGGGGAGAGTGGAGGTGAACAGATGAGAGGAGAATGAAGCATTCATCCAACTAGCAGCCCATGTTGGAGTTGGCATGGGAAACCAGCAATTAACATGGTACAAAGAAAAAAGTCGTACCAACACTAACGTGGTACCAACACCAACATCGTACCAACACTAACGTGGTACCTAAACTAACCTGGTGCCAACACTAACGTGGTACCAACACTAACGTGGTACCAACCAACAAGGAACTCACAACATGGCACTAGATACCACTGTCTGGAAGTCATTTGTGAGCACTCGAGCTCGTTTGACTGCCCAAGCTTGATTGCCATCGTGAGAAGAAACTCCCTTGTAGACAACACCAAAGCCGCCACTTCCTATCCAGTTCTCCTCTACCCACGCTCCTGTGGCCTCGGTTAGCTCTGTCAGAGAGTATTCTCGACACATATATGGCTGTGCTACATCCATCCCCACCACAACACCATCACTCTGCCCTCTTAATGATGCTGCTGCTGCAGCAGCTACTCCCGCACCTTCTGCTGCTGCTGATGGTGGTGCCGATGCAACAGCTGCTGCCAGCCCCTCTGTTGCTGATGTCGGTGGTGCTTCTGATAATGGTGGTGCTGCTACAGCCGCTGCAGCAGATGATGCCGCACCTTCTGCTGCGGCTGACGATGGTGTTGCTTCTGCTGATGGTGGTGCCGCAGCAGCCAATACCGCCACACCTTCTGCTGCTGCTGATGGTGGTCTTGCTGCTGCTTCTGCTGCTGTTGAATCTTCCTCCTCACAACAAGATTCTATATAGGAACACAACAGAAGGAAGGGAGAGAGAAAAGACATAGAGCAGGTAAGGGACCCACCCCACTTATTCTAGTACACTAAGGGGCCAGAAAGGACCACCAGCCACAATTCTTCAGAGAAAAATTCTTGCCACATTGGGATCATGTTGCCACATTGAGATGATGTTGCCACATTGGGATCATGTTACCACATCGGCATCATGCTTCCATATTGGCGTCATGTTGATAATATGCGCAAGCGATTGAAATGCTACAATTTGAATAGATTAACCACCACATGATCAAATATAGCGGGTCGAACTCGAGTCTTGGCCAAATCGACCCTATAGATGGGGTCAGGTCAGCAAATCGATCCTATAGTCCGGGTCAGGTCAGCCTTTCCGGGGTCCTTCCCCGAGGTCGGGTTGATCGCTCCGACCGGACCCATACCCGTCTTGGGTCAAGCAGCCGGGGGGGGGGGGAGGGGAGGGGGGTGGGGGGAATTGGGAGGGGGAGTCGGAACGAGCCGATCCGTTGCTCATGTCAATTTTCACATAACCTTCCCCCTCCTGGTAGCGCTGCAATATGTTTAATCGCCAGTTTCTTCTTCCAGCCGCTGCCAGGTGGCGGCGCGTAGCTCCTCCACATCAGCTGCCCGCCCCTCTGTTGTAACATTTTTATACAACATACACAGGCTAGCTTGTGAGGTTTAGTTGCTAAGGGGCTGTTGGGTGTACCTTCCGACCACAATTCGTGGTTGACATTTTTCTTCGGTTCCCAACGTTTTGGACCTCCAATCATGTTGGTCAACACCCAGTCAACAACTATTGGAACCGCAATAATGTCGGCCAACCCAACCAGCCACTATTAGGCCTCTCACGCTTGTTAGCCAAGCCAACCCACAACTTCTCTCACTGCCCAAGTATACCTCGGATCATTCGAGCTTATTCAGTACAATTTATCGTTTTCTGACCCTCAACTTTTAAGATTTGGTGTTGATAATCAACGCAGAGAGGGTTCATCGCACCCTCCTCACCCTCTTCGCCCTCCTCGCCCTCCTCGTGCTCCTCGTCCTCCTCGTCCTCTTCGTGCTCCTCGCCCATCGTGGCCCTCGCGTCCAGAGATGACTTTTGAGTCGTCTCAAAAGTCATTGCGGCCATCGCGTCCATCTCATCTATTGCATCCATCTCGAAAAACATCTTGCAAACGTTGATGCTCAGCTCTTTCACCGCCTGGGAGGATAAGAGTGGGGAGGGTGGATTGAACGGGGGGAAAGGAAGGGGGGAAAGTAGTCCGAAAGAGGAGGAAAGAGATTTGGAGGAGTGGAAGAAAGGAGGGGGGGACGGGGGGGGGAGGAGAGAGAGGCATGGAGGAGATGAGGGCGAGGAGATGGAGAGAGGATGGAGAGGAGTGGGTGAGGAGAGAGGAGTGAGAGCAGCATGCATGCCTCAATTTTTTAGGCGCCTCAAAAGTAGCACGGCACTCATGCATTGGGCAGGAGAGAATTGGCTGCTGGCATTCATCGTAAGCATCTCTGGCCACTTGACCATCTCCAGAAACATCTCTCTCCATTCACAGTCGTGTTTTGAATCGACACAAAACACCACTTGTCCAGACCAGAAACATCTCTCTCCGTTCCTAGTACGCGCATTGTGGGGAGAGGAGACGAGGGAGGGGAAGATTAAGGAGAGTGAAGGGGGAGCGGAGGGGGAGAGAGATAGAGGTGGGGGAGAGGAGGGAGGGGAGGGAGGAGGGGAGAGAGGAGGGGGGGGAGAGAAAGGAAGGGGGAGGGGAGAGAGAGGACAGAGAGAGGAGACAATAGAGGGGAAGAGGAGAGAGGGGAGAGGGAGATGGGGATGAGCAGAGCCGGGGAGGACGGAGAAGAGGTGGGGATTTGAGGGTGAGCAGTGCGAGAGAGGAGGGAAAAGAGTGGGATATGTAGGTGAAGGGGAATGAGATGCGACGGAAGAGGGTCAAGTTGACAAAGCCAAGCATATACTGGCTCATAATAAGCTTACATGTTGACAGCCATATTGGTGGCGAGTTGACGAAGTAATGAAGAACGTGGGAGGCGAGGCACAGGCCAAAGGAGCCCCGGTAACCCCATGAGATGAGAGTACAATTGCACAAGGAGGTTAAATAATTACAAGGAGCCTTGATTGGACAACGACATTTTCCAGGTCACATAAATTTGGGCCGTGTTTTGAGTCGACTCAAAACATGAAGCCCCAGTAACCCCATGAGATGAGCGTACAAGTGCACAAGCACGTCGAATAATAACAGGGGGGCTTGATTGGGCAACAACATTTTCCAGGTCACGTAAATTTGGCCGACCAGGTGAAGATTAACTTGATGTGATTCACTTGCACCATTGCCCATTTCAAAGGCAAGCTGGTTATCTTATTAGAGCGAGATCACTGCACCCAACATGCCTCCAGTGATTACAGCATGTGCTACACTCTGTACAAACACCCAAGATGTACACACACTGCACAGCACCTGCAGTTGCCCTGGGACCTCCGCTCGTTTCAGTTCATAAGCTAAAAGCACGCCAACCGGCTCACTGGCCACACTCTACCTGGTTTCAATGGCTTCTGTCCATGCTACAACCATAGGCTGTCCGTGCTACAGCCATAGGCAGTCCATGCTACAGCCATAGGCAGTCCGTGCTACAGCCATAGGCAGTCAGTCCATGCTACAGCCACAGCCACACTTCAGAAGCGATCCCGGTGCTACACAGGGCTCAATGCCCACACCATACCTGGTTCTGGGTTGACTTTTTAGTCAACTCAAAAGCCAAGCACTACACAGGGCTCAATGCCCACACTATACTTGGTTCTGAAATGACTTTTGAGTCGACTCAAAAGTCAAGCACTACACAGGGCTCAATGACCACACCATACTTGGTGGCTCAATGCTCACACTATACCTGTTGCCAGGGGCTTTCAACGTTGCCCACACTATAAGTTGTGCCAGTGGCTTTCAGCATTGCGCTCGAGTGCTGCAGAGATGAGAGGCAGGATGGTGGTGCGGTTCTGAGCCACGAGTGTCACGATGGAGTCATTGTCCCACAGGTGCAGCGTGCGCTCCACCACCTGATGAGAGGGGGAGGGAGTGTATATGTGGTGTGTGTAAATCACAGCACGAGTTCCACAATGTAGTTCGTGTTCCACAGGTGCAGCGTGCGCTCCGCCACCTGAGGAGGGAGTGTATATGTGGGGTATGGTGTGTGAGTGAGCAATATACATAACGTTTCTGACGTGGTGGAAGTGAGGAGGAGGGAGTGTATATGTGGGGTACGGTATGGGGTATGGTGTGGGGTATGGTGTGGGGTACGGTGTAGAGTACGGTGTGGGGTACGGTGTGGGGTATGGTGTGGGGTACGGTGCGGGGTACGGTGTGGGGTATGGTGTGGGGTATGGTGTGGGGTACGGTGTGGGGTACGGTGTGGGGTACGGTGCCACGAGCATGACAAAGTAGTGTGCGCTTCACCACCTGCATGGGGGGGAAGGGAAACGGGGTTTGCGGGGCTGGTGGAGGAGAGACAGAGTATTTCCGCGCCACGAGTGTCACGATGCAATTGTTGTTCCATTGAAGCAGTGTGCGCTTCACCACCTGCATGGGGGAAAAGGGGAACGGGGCGGAGGAGGGGGAGGCTGGAGGGGTGGCGGGGTGTATATATGGGGCATGGAATGTGAAATGTGACATAGGTGGGGCCAAGGTAGGGTGTCACATGACATGTCAGGCAGACAATGACCATCGCATAGGCCAAAGCCTAATGTCACTCGCACCCATAAGTAAAATAAGCGAGCCCCACTCACTCTATCCCAACTCTGGTCGTTGTCGGTTTGTTTCTGAGAATGCTTCCAGCTTGGAATGCTTCCAGCTTGGAATGCTTCCAGCTTGGAATGCTTCCTGCTTGGAATGCTTCCAGCTTGAATGCCATACAATATTAGCATATTCAAGCATCAAAGCTGGATCATAGAATTTCGGGAGGGAAATCATGGCTAGAGCGTTGTAGGCATCCACAACTCAAAGCGTTGTAGGCATTGCATCATGCTCCCACTCCATCACACCCCGTCACACCTCCTCACACCCCATCACCGTATCACGCCCCTTTGTTCTGAAACGTGACCTCTGCTGGAACAGCAGCGTCACAGCCATTTGACAGCTCGTGTTCTTGTGTAAGAACGCATCGCACCCCATCACACCATATTGCACCGCATCACACCGTACCTGTAATTGGGTGGGAGCACCGTGCAAGGAGCCGTGACATCGTGTGCGATCATGATGACCAGCTGCTTCTCCATGACACTCACTTGCACCTCCTTACACCTCCTCACACATCCTCACACCTCCTCACACCTCGCCACACCCTCTCAAACCCGACCACCATATCACATCGCATGAACCGCATCACACCCAACAAACACCCCACTGTACCTGGTAGTGCGGGGAGCTGAGGCAGCGAGCGATCTGCTGGAACAGCAGCGTCATCACCATCTCAAACTCCGACGCCTGCGTCAGCTCCAAATTTTTCTCCAATTCCCCCAGGAAAAGCACCTCATTGTGGCTGTTGTTTAAGGGCCAGAACTTAAGCAACCCGCGCAGCACCAAATCCGCGAGCTTCGGGTCTTTCTCCACGAACTGAGTGATGCAGTACGACAGCTGCTGGTGGTACATCGACACGCACTTAGGCTTGTGCAGGGGAACCAGCGCCCAGTCTAGAGTCTTTATACGTTCCTCCTTAAGCGGTAGCACAAATTCTTTGATAACACTCCCTAGAATATCCAGCAGCTCTGCTGGATGCCGTTATGCCGCTCCTGTTATAGTCACAATATGCTTGAATGTGCCTAAAACGAAAGATAGAGAGCACAGACGGATTTCTGCACAGCGGCTTCAAACGTTGATAGCGCAGCTGCAAATGCCTTGATTCAAATTGGATCTGGAGCGTCTTCACGACGTCTACAATAAGTAATTTAGATTGCACGATTTCATAAAGAATTGACGACACAGCGTCGGTTTGAACGAACGGTACTATGGCAGCCACTATAGTCTTAGAACACAAGATAGGAAGAGTTACGAGTTGGGAATGACTCCCAGCTCCTACAAACCCCAAGAGCCGAGGTACAGTGATGTGGAACAGTGCCACACTGTCCCCAACCACGAAGGGTCTCGAAACTACCCTTCACTAGGGCCTACACCAAGTGAAATGTTACACTACACAAAGTAATGTAACTATCTTCAATATCTTGAGGTGTACCCTTTTGGCGAGCTTCGAAATCACTTGAGGCTTGACACCAAGGCTCGGGCTCTTCATCACAAACTCATCCTTGAGTTCTTGATGGGTCTGCTGCACACACCTGCGACACGCCGAACGTTCGACACAGGACAAAATAGAAACCGCGCACGACAAAATAGAAACCGCGCGCGAGACACAAACGACCGCGTAACACGCGTCTAGCGATAACTCGCTATTGACTCGACACACACACTCGACATCATGACTCAACATTCACACACAATTATAAGCATGAAATATATATTATCCCATGCCCTCATACCATTCCATACACACACACATTCACGCACACGGACAACAAGCCGAGTGCAAACCGTAGGGTTGCACCAACAAACTCCCCCTCGGATTGTTGGCCTTAGGATATGTTGCTCTCTCAGTTCAGAGCCATCCCAGCCAGCTTGCAACACTTCCAATGCTGCTGCTCCACCAGCCTCTTGGTCATCATGTCAGCCGGCTGCCCCGTGGTCTTCACATAGCGCAACTCAACTTCACCCGCGGTTACCATGCTCCTCGTCCAATGCCACTTCACCCTCATGTGCTTCGTGAGTCCATGCAACACAGGGTTCTTAGCAAGAGCAATGGCACCCTGGCTGTCACAGTACAGTGGGGTAGGTCCTTGCTGCTCCTCCCCCAATTCAGCCAACAAACGCCGCTGCCACACAATCTCCCGTACGGCACGGAAGAGTGCCATGTACTCGAACTCCACCGAGCTCAAAGCTTGGTCAACCTGCTTCTTGCTCTCCCAAGCAGTTGGGCCTCCACCAACACAGCATATGAAGCCTCCCACACTTGTCATGTCCTCTGGTTCTGATGCATATGAAGCATCCGAGTAGGCGGTGAGGAACAAACGCCCGGGTTCAACACCATCCGCGCCCTTTTGGTGCCTTTGTGCCGCCGCCGAGTATTGCAGCCCAACGGTCGGTGTTTGGCCAAGATACTTGGCCACCCTCATTCCAGCTGCTACCTGCTCCTCATTAGGGCATTGCACAACCCTAGCCAGCTGCCCGGTAGCAAACGCGACGTCCGGTCGGGTGTTTACCGCCGCATACATGAGGCTGCCCACCAACGAGTGAAATCGGCGCCTCTCCTCTTCACCAACGCTCTCCTCCTCTGGTCCCTTCACACACTTGAACCCAGAGGGAA